TGGAACACTAAAATTATACACAGAATTTTGAAATTGTTCTCCATTAATTAATTATGGTAATTTATGCAAATTTATTCCAAAAATAACAAAAATTGCTTCTCCTTCATATTTCGACCGATTTTGATTTGGTTTGCTTTATATCGTAGAGCTAACTTTGGTACACTAAACTTCTACACAGAATTTTGAAATTGTTCTCCATTAATATTTATGGTAATTTATGCAAATTTATTCCAAAAATAACAAAAATTGCTTCTTCTCCCTCATTTCTTGACCGATTTTGATTTGGTTTGCCAAATTTATTCCAAAAATAATTTAAAAATCACAAACCCTTCCAGGGCATCAAATTTTATTTTTTGACCAGTTCAAAAGTGTACCACATAAAATTTATGATATTTGTTGTTGCGAGATGCGGATGAGCGCTACATCATTGACGTTCTGGTTATTGAATTTGCAACGTAATTAGCCAAAAATAATCTATAAACTTTTCACCTGACCCTCCCTGCAAGATATGTGATCAAAGCCCAAATGTCATGAAAAAGGGGAAAATGCGATGTACAATGTGAATTGTGAAACCTTTTTATAAAAACAAAATCTGTTGACACAAAACCCTGATAGCACAAAGTAAATATCTGGCCGAACCATGTATTTTGTATGCAATTTTAAGTGGATAACACAAAATCCTTATAACACAAACAAAATATTGTGGTCCTACTGATTTTGTGTTAAAGAAGTTCCGCTCCGAGGTTCAGCTGTATCATGTTTACATGTCCTACCTTTGTATGATGCTGAATTATATTTCTTGGATTCTTTAAAAAATCGGTTAAAAAATGAGAAGGTGCAAGCCAAAAACGACTTGCGAGGCCAAGGTGGGATAGGAGAGTACGTTAATTGACCCCGGGCTCAAGTAAATTCTATTTCTGCTCATTTTGATAATTTAAAAATCAATTTAAGATCTTTAGATGCCCTGTCTCATAGATTAGTGGTAAATAAAGGTACCTTGACAGTTAAAAATAAATGTCATGTTTTAGCTCGATTTTGTGTAAAAGAGATTCCACTGTACGACAAAAAATCAGTTTAAATATGTTAAAGGGGGGTGCCAACGTTCAAAGTGTGCAAAACATTATGCAAAGATCATGAAAGTACAATTTTTGGGGAAAGGAAAGAAGTCATAAGTTCCATATCTGACCTCAAATTTGACCAAAAGTGCTGCTCAATAGTTAACAGGAAAGCTACGCAATTTATTGGTCAGAATTACCACAACTTGGTCAAAATTGTGGTCATTCTTACCTACCGTTAGTTTGTAGATTCTTCATCTTGATATTTTTATGTAAGTTTTTTTTTTTTTATTGTGACCAAAAGTGCCAAAATCTGCCTTTTGTCGCACTTTTTGGTTTAAAAAAAAATAAAACTTTTATTATCCCCTCGCCGACGAAGTCGGAGGGGATATAGTAACGCTGCCGTCCGTCCTTCCTTCCATGCGTGCGTCCGTCCGTGCGTGCGTCCGTTCGTAACAAATTTGGTTTCCGATCGATAACTTCAGTAATGTTTGACAAATTTTAATGGAATTTGATATGAAGGTACATGATATCAAAATACAGGCTAAGTTCGATTTCGGAGTATGTACCTAGGTCAAAGGTCATAGCTCATTAAATATGCAAATCTGGTTTCCATTCGATAACTTGAGTAATGTTTGACGAATTTTAATGAAATTTGATATGAAGGTTCATGGTATTAAAACAAAGTCTAAGTTCGATTTCGGAGTATGTAGGTCAAAGGTCATAGCTCATTAAATATGCAAATCTGGTTTCCATTCGATAACTTGAGTAATGTTTGACGGATTTTAATGAAATTTGATATGAAGGTACATGGTATCAAAATACATGTACAGCCTAATTTCGATTTCTGAGTATGTAGGTCAAAGGTGAAAGGTCATAGCTCATTAAATATGCAAAAACACCTACCGGTAATTATATATGTGAAAATCCTTGCCTAGAAATATAATAATATAGTCCAATGGAGGTAACTTGTTCTGACGTATATAGGCCATTTGTACCCTGCGAGGGATGCTACGCTTTGCGTTGACTTGTTTAAAAATGAATCTCATCTTACTACAGAATCAAAGTTTTATGTCTTTGATTGAGTTTGGAATTACACACCATGGATAGTGGCAATTGGCCATTGTAGTGGCATTCAAATTTAGCGATTTGTTAATATTACCAATTGATGTTCGAAAATGCATTTTAAAAAAATTGTGAATTGTCTTGCTCGCGAAATTGAAATGCATGCAAAACTTTTGCATATTATGGCTAATTCTTAATTTCTAAACTCATGAATTGTTTCCGTTTCCGATAATTTCAGGTGGGAGTTCTGGATGCTGCACCATCTGGCTCAAATGTTCACTGGACCGGTGATGACGACACTCCTGTCGCATCTGAACCATCTGGAGATGACAACACTCCTGTCGCATCTGAACCATCTGGAGATGACAACACTCCTGTCGCATCTGAACCATCTGGAGATGACGACACTCCTGTCGCATCTGAACCATCTGGAGATGACGACACTCCTGTCGCATCTGAACCATCTGGAGATGACAACACTCCTGTCGCATCTGAACCATCTGGAGATGACAACACTCCTGTCGCATCTGAACCATCTGGAGATGACGACACTCCTGTCGCATCTGAACCATCTGGAGATGACGACACTCCTGTCGCATCTGAACCATCTGGAGATGACGACACTCCTGTCGCATCTGAACCATCTGGAGATGACGACACTCCTGTCGCATCTGAACCATCTGGAGATGACGACACTCCTATCGCATCTGAACCATCTGGAGATGGCGACACTCCTGTCGCATCTGAACCATCTGGAGATGACGTCACTCCTGTCGCATCTGAACCATCTGGAGATGACAACACTCCTGTCGCATCTGAACCATCTGGAGATGACGACACTCCTGTCGCATCTGAACCATCTGGAGATGACGACACTCCTGTCGCATCTGAACCATCTGGAGATGACGACACTCCTGTCGCATCTGAACCATCTGGAGATGATTCCGATAGTGATTATGAAGCCGAATCTGATCCAGAAGGTAGTAGCAGTGATGAGGCTGATTTCATTCCATTTCGGTTTGTACGTGGACGTCAAAGTAACTCTGTGGCAGTTTCTGTCAGTGATAATAAGGAGAGTGAAGCCATGCCTGTTGACCATTCAGTACCTAATACCTCACCTGCCCATGCCTCTGCAAGTGTTCAAAGTGCAAAAGTCTCAAGCTCCAGTTGCAGTATTAATGTGATGACCACTTCAAACAACAACTGTAGAAAGTGGGACAAACCTCAGTACTGTAAATTTTGTAGTCAACCACAAAAGAAACTGCCGAGGCATCTGCTTACACCACAACATGTCAACGAGACTGAGGTTCAGCAATGGATTGCAACTAAAGACATGAAAGAAAAGGCAAACTTGCTAGCTAAAATGAGAAATTACGGAAACTATCGTCACAATGTCAAAGTCCTTCAAGAAAATAAGGTACCTTGATTGTTGCATACAGACCGAAATATGATGTGGATCCAGAAGAATATTTGCCATGTAGTCATTGTTATGCTTTCTATTCCAAGGATGATTTGTACAGGCATGTTCATAGATGTAAATTGCGACCAGATGTTGAGGATGAGGATGAGACCTGTGAACCACCCAAGAAGAAAAAAAGAACCTTACATGTTCAAACTGGTAGAATGATGCTTCCAGGCCCATCAGGAGTAAGCCCAAAGGTGCACATGATATTATCAATGGGAGTCGATGATGAAATATTGAGAGTTGTGAAATCAGATAGATTAATGCAGCAAGTAGCAGAGAGGCTGACATTGAAGCATGGGCATGACAAAGACCAGTATTCATATATACGGCAAAAATTGCGTGAACTTGCACGACTGGTTCGTGAGTACAGAAAATTGAATGATCACCCATCGGCTTCATTAGTAGATTTGATTTGTCCTACCAAATTTAATGAGGTCATAGCTGCAACTAGGAAGGCTGCAGGATTTAATGAGGATACACATTTGTACACAACACCTAGCCTGGCACTGAAAGTCGGATATACACTGGTGACGGCTGCCAAAGTCCTTATGGGAAATGCTCTGTTGCAAGCAGATGCTGGTTTGGAAAAGAAATGCAAACAGTTCATCAAATCATATACTCTCAAGTGGGAAGCAGAAGTAAGCACACATGCACTGCGTACATTAAAAGTAAACAAGAGAAATACATCAAGGCTGCTTCCTTTGACAACAGATGTTGTTGCACTGTCCAATTATGTGAGAAAAGAAACAAAAGAGGGAAAACAGAAGCTGAACAGCTGCAGTAGTGATGAGACCCTTGACAGATGGAAACAGTTGGCTGAGGTTACCCTGACCCAGGTGTGTGTTTTCAACAGGAAGCGTCCGGGAGAAGTTTCAAAGATGCCCCTCAGTGATTACAAGTGTATCACAAAAGGAGAAGGTGGAATATTTGGTGAAGGCCTAACCAAATGGGAAAAGGCGTTGTGCAATGTGGTATGGAGGGTGGAGATTAATGGGAAATGCAATAACACTGTACCCGTTTTGCTAACAGATGACATGAAAGGCAGCATTGACTTGTTGATGGAGAAAAGGTCACAAGTAGTCAATGATGGAAATCCCTACTTGTTTGCAAACCCCGATGGAAGAGGCCACTTGAGAGCAACTGATACAGTGCGAAATCATGCCCAAAAGTGTGGAGCAAAGTATCCAGATCAGCTTAGATTGACAAAACTCAGGAAGCACATTGCTATCAGCTCTCAGATCATGAATTTGAAGGATAATGAAGTGGACATTTTAGCCACCTTCATGGGCCATGACATAAGAACCCACAGAGCCTACTACCGCCTGCCAGATGCGTCACTGCAAGTAGCAAAGATTTCTAAAGTACTCTTCAGCATGGAGAAGGGAGACCTAAAGGCAATGGCAGGAGGAAGAGACTTGGATGATGTTCGTGTAGATGCAGATGAAGGTATGACTATTTTTTATGTTTTGTGCTAGATAGAATGGCTGAGAATATGCCATACCATTTTCATTTCCTTCTACTTTTATCTAAAGTGATATCTGATTGGTTAGTGAGATCATAACGGTTTCTAGTTTGAGATTACATTAGGCCAGAAAACTTTTATGTTACATCTCAATCATTCATTTCACTCTCATACAACACAGTTTTTATATTGTATAATTTCCTTAGTTTTGTATGCTTGCTATATCCTTCAGTTTGTGAAGTTCCATGCTTTTGGTAAGCAAACTGGGATGTCTTCATTAGTACCTCCAGTTTTAATAAGAATTGATCCGAGATACAATATATGGGAAGCTGCCAACATTTCAAATACTTGAATATGTGATTTGATTTTTGTGTCGCCTTACTGAACGTTCATGGTGGCACATACTAATCCAAATTATCTATGTCCGTCTTTCCATTAACCGATTCGGTTAACGTTTTCGGTTAACCCTTCTAAAAATGCTCCGCAGGCTAAACGCTATGCTTGATTTACTCCAAAACTTGGTAGGATGATCCGCAGGTTAAACGCTATGCCCGATTTACTTCTAACTTGGTAGGGTGATAGAGTGAGGTGCCACAATATCATGTGTTGCTTTGAGCTGTATTATTTGCATATTCATGAATTTCAATTAGCTTATTTGCAATGCAATTTAGGTTAACCTTAAAAAAAATGCTCTGCAGGCTAAACGCTATACCTGATTCATTTGAAACCTGGTAGGGTGACAGACTGAGGTGCCAAGATGTTGTGTGATGCTTTTCATTGCATTATTTGCATAATCATGACATTTAATGAGCTAATTTGCATATTTTGATATATTTTGGATACTCATGTGTTTTAAAAAAATGATGACACTTGCAGAATTGTCTCTCTAAATACACTTTGTATTGAAGAGTAGTTGTGGTACCAGCTGTGCTGTTTACATGAAAAGCAAAACAGGGATGACTATCCACAGCTGTCTGCTATGAACTTACCCTTGCAAAGATTATAATGTACATGTATGTTATTTTTCACCTGCTCTTGTTAAATCTGTGTTTGTTTTTTGTTTTTCAGAATGCAACATAGATCCAGATGTTGATGATGATCCTGACAACGAAGTGAACAGGCCCGATGATGCTGTTTTGATGGATGAGATGTCAGACAAAGAAAATGAAGGTGTGAATGAATTACTTTGTTATATCCTTTGTTAGGCCTCCGTTACGAAGTAGCCGGAGGCATTATGTTTTCGGGTTGTCCGTCCGTCCGTCCGTCCGTCCCGTTCTCGTGATCGCGTTATCTGAAGAACCGATTGATGGATTCCTGCCAAACTTTGGTCATGTATGTATCTTGCAGAGCCGATGGACTGATAAGATTTTGGGGTCACAAGGTCAAAGGTCAAAGGTCACAGGGCTCATTATGTATGAAAAACAGCTCGTGATCGCGTTATCTCAAGAACCGATTGATGGATTCCTGCCAAACTTAGGTCATGTATGTATCTTGCAGAGCCAATGAACTGAGTAGATTTATGGGTCATGAGGTCAAAGGTCAAATGTCATGGGCTCATTATGTATGCAAAAACAGCTTTATCATTAGAACTGACAGATGGATTACTATTTAATTCAGGACATCTTGCAGAGCCAATGAACTGAGTAGATTTTAGGGTCATGAGGTCAAAGATCAAAGGGTCATATATGTATATGAGAAATTGCTTGTAATCACGATATTCTGAGAACCTGTTAATGGATTACAATGAAATTCGAATTTGAAAAATTTCTTCTGTTTTGGTTTGTAAACTTGCTCTATGACGGAGGCATCATTTTCGAATGCGCGCAGTCGAAGTTCCATCTAGTTTATCCTTACTTTGATTATTCCAGATGCCCTCAACAGGTGATTATCCTTGTGTCACTATTTGAATTTTAGCATTCGCTTAGTTTGAATTCTGGCTAAATGGCACTCCTAATGCAGACAGCTTTAAATGAAGAACTAGCTAAAAGTAATGTAAATTGTAACTTTAAAAAAAAAATCAAAATATAACCATTCCACTCTTCTCTCAGCTACCATCTTCTGCATTTGGTTAAGTTTTTTAAAATCTGTCATTGAACCTGAAACATTAATTGTGTTTCCCTACTTATTTGTCTAATTCACTATTAAAGGTATGAGCATGCCGCAGCAAAGCAGAAAGAAGAGTGACCAAGTTGCAAACAAGGAAAGTGACCGTGGTGCCAGCAGAAAGAAAAGGAGTATCAGACAATCTTGGACAGCTGAAGAAAAACAAGCAATACACAGACACTTTAAAGAAGAACTACGCTCACGCCAACTGCCCGGTAAAGAAAAAATAATGAAGTACTGCAAGATGGATGCAGACCTGAAGGGTCGTACTAAAAGGTGGACAACAGTCAAAGATTTCATTAGAAACCAAATTAGAAAGACAAATCCACTGGATTTTTAGTGAATTTTCAACCTGTTATGAGTGAAATTAATCATGTTCATCACACTCCGCAATTTTGGATGAAATCTTTTCAGGTACTGACATGCGTAAAATGTGGTTGCTTCTTATTCATATAACCCACTTACTGGTTTCCTTGATGAAGGGCTGTGCTTTGGAAGAGGTGCACCTTTATATAGGTTAACAGTTAACTCCATGGCCAGGAAGCATACTGTGTGTAAAGCAGTGTATGGTTCTGCAAGTCAAATGGGAACTTAATAGGAAAAACTTAATTACCTGCCCAGTTGGTCAGGGCCAGGGAGTAGACTTGTGTCTAACAGTATGTATACTGTATAGAAGATTGTAAGGCAAATGGGAACTTTTGTGCTAAAGTTGTTTGATAAGCCCCAGTTTGCCAGGTTAACGTTTTGCAGTTTAAATGATGACTTACAGGTCAATTTTATCAGCTCCCATATCACCAGATGGTCAACGTCAGTGAGCATCACATGTGTAACAATGTGCATAAAGGTTTACAGGTCAAACTCCAACTTTGCTCACTTCCCCTAGATTAGGTTCATGGTTGATAGGACTCGTGATAGGACTAGATGTATAATGTTTTCCATATCAACTGGGAATTAAGAGCCAACTGTGATCAGGTCCTCAGTTGGCTTAGACCATGACAAGGAAGCATCCACATGTGTACACTATGTAAAATAAAGTTTGCAGGTCAAATAGGGACTTTAGGCCAACTTTGCTTGGCTCCCCAGTTAAATAGGCCAGTATGTAATGTTTTGCAATCAACTAGTGACTTATGGGCAATTTTGATCAGGTCCTCAGTTGGCTTGGGTCCGATTACCAGGAAGCATCCGCATGTGTACATTGTGTGAAAGTTAAGTTTGTAGGTCAAATGGGCACTTTTGGTCAACTTTACTTGGCTCACCAGTTGATCAGGGCCATGATGACTCGTCAAAGGACCGCTATGTATAATGTTTGGATTTAAGAGCCAACTGTGATGATCGAGGTCCTCAGTTGGCTAGTTCCAGCTGATGAGGAAGCATCCACATTGTGTAAACTAAAGTTTGCACGTCAAATGGGGACTTATGGCTAACTTGACTCGTCAAAGGCCCGCTACTTGCAAAATTTAGATTTTTAAGTACATTGCAGATCAAATGGGACATAGCTACCACCTTTGATCCTCAATTAGTCAAGGCCAGGTGAAGTCCCATGAAATTGAAAATTGTGTAAAAAGTAACATGTCTAATTTTGATTTATGAGACAACTTGGTTAGCAGTTGGGTTTTGACTGTTGGTCAATTACCATGGACCTTTGGCCTTTATTAGACTTTATAAATATCTCACCACTCTTGTCCAATTTCATCTAAGTTTGGACCCTTTTTTTCAAAAAAATCATCAAAAAGTAGACCATTTGCCCCTTTTGTGAAATTTAATCAGGTCCTCGCACTCAGCTATTGGGTAGGGCCAGATAACCATTAAAGCATAATCATGTGTTCAATGTGTTTCTATTAAGTTATGTCTGCAGATCAAATGGGACTTTGTACCATCTATGATCAGATCCCCAGTTAGTCAAGGCCAAATTGTGAATAAAGTTTTACAGATCAAATGTGGACTCAAAGCTTGCCAGCTTCGATAATTTTCCAGTTGCAGTCAATTATCAGGGAGCATTGACCAATGTGTAACAGTTTGTATAAAGATTTGCAGGGTAAGTGGGGTATATTTCTGCGACAAACTATGATCAGCTTCTGAGCCAAGAACATTGTTTATTTAAGGATGCACTCAGCAACATGCTTTATGCAGTATAGTTCATCTCGTATGTAACTCAAAAACTATTGATGGGAAGTGTATAAAGGTATACATTTTCTGGCTGAAAATGACCTGTTAAATCCATTGAACACATACAATTTGGACAACAATTTATCATTTTTTTTACCCATTTTTTTCGACCACCATAAATAAAATATCCTTGCAACAAAAAATTATTTTCCTAGTGTCCAAAATATAACTCACAATGTACCAAAAATATAATAACCAAGTTTGAACTTATGAGTTGTGGGCTATAAAAAAAGTTCTAGGGCCTAATTACAAAAAAACGTTACTAGATTTTAGTAGGTACAATGTATTCTGTATGAAATCTTAAATCAGAAATGTTTTATTTTTGAGTCCTGAGGGTTCAAAACTCATATAAACTATTAAAAATGAAATGGCTGAAATTATGATTTTATGCAGAAACATGGATTTTCAGTTGCATTTTCAATCTCATCTTGAAAACCCCAAGATCCTGTGTCTCGATCCTGACTTTGGTATACGGTTGCCGACAATATGCTGCATCCGATGGTACATTAGACATTTTTTCCAATTGAATTTATATGGATTTGAGAGTAAACGTCCACATGGTCTCACCATCTGTTTACATTGCTTGCTGTTTCCATGGGCGTTGTGTCACGTAGATAGATTGCGCGGATATTGCACATCGTGTTGCAATGTGACGGGACACGTAGCATGCATCGCATAAACGGACACTGTCATTTTGCGTTAAAAAAGGTTTCATCTGTAGTTTTGTTAGATTTTAAACCTGAAAAGGGTCCACAAAACAGTTTTTGATGGTTCAATGTTTATATTAGCATCACAGAATTTACTGACATGATGGAACAGAGTTTGAAGATAGCAATAAAAAAAAATCATTTAAGGGTATGGCAAACTTTGACGTTGCTGGGTGCATCCTTAAGTTGTAGGTAATTACATGTTTTAAGATGTTAAAAGTTGTGTAGATCAAATGGGGACTTTGCAGGCCAACCTTGATTATTACCTCCCGGCTGGTCGTCCTAGGAATTGAATAGCCCATGTATAAAGGTTTTCAGCTTAAACGGGGACATATGATGCTCACTTGTGTTGACCCAGCTGGGGAGATAATAAGAGTTAGCCCCAAAGTCCCTTTGCAAACATGAGATGCTCCATTGCATTTCTCCAATCTGTGATCTGATCAAACTTGTTAAGGTACTATGCCCATTCAAGTTTGATATCTCCTCATTTGGCTGGGATCAGAAGCATCTTCGTTCCTGTACTGTGTAGAGTAGCAACTCATTTACACAAAGTTGGTGGGGGTTTGGATTTAGGTTTGTGTTATCAGGATAGAATGAAATTTACAAGAACACCTTGGAAATTGAATTCCTCTTTGTATTATTTGGAACTTTGTGTTAAGAAAAGGGTTTGCAAGAACGAGTTGCCACTGTATGAGGTAATTTGTTGGTCAAACAGCGACTTATGGGTCAGCTTTGATAAGCTACAGAGTTGGTCACCTCCAATCTTGCATATACCATTGAGTGTATTCAATTTTTCATCCAGTGTTGTTTTGAACAGTTTTATAGTTTTACATACATGTACACAATCTATATAAAGTTCTGAAATGGATAGTGCATGCAAGAGTGTTTTGTTCATATATGAAAATGTGACATATTACAAATTTACCCTTGGTTCAGTTTGTTGTTATGAATTTCTGATGTTTGTGTTTGTTTTTGTTTTTTGTAAAGAGTGAGTTAAATGTCTTAACAAGACATGTTCTCATGCAATGCAATCAATGCAATCAATTGTTAATCTTTTCCTGTTATGTGGAAAAAAATGTGTATGCTTTAAGTAATGAATACCCTTTGTTTCATCACAACTTCTGTAGTGACATCACCTGCAAAGAACACTTTTTCTGGGTTTGAATTCCAAGCGTGATGACCACCGCCAATTATAAGTGTGGGTTCTGCTTCTAAAGGAACATTAAAAAAATAGTTTTTATTGAATTGAATCTTGTCTTCCTGATGATTTATAAAATATTTTAGATGGGAATCTGTAGATGAGTTATACAACAAATGATAAATGTTTTATTCATCGGATAGAATATTTTCATTTTAGTGGAAGATTGGCCGTTCCGCCAGCTCCTGGTATGGTGCAACTAATCTTTCACCTCATGAAAATATTCTTACCAGAGCACTCTCAAATTATATGTATAACATTTTGTTATTTGATGTAGCTAGTATGAGCAATGTTGTAATACATTTGTTAGTTGTGTATTAAAATGTAACCACTAGCCTGTATTAAACAGTATATCATATTATAATAGTTAGATCAGGTATATACAGTTTACAATTCACCGTTCATAGTGTACATGTTAAAAAAGTTGATTGTTCAGTATCATTGCAGTTAAATGCTGGTTGACCAAAATTTGTGGAATGGCTGGTATTTCAGAAAAGGAGTTGAAACAGAAGGTCAGGTTTATCATTGAAGAAATATTATTTGGGCAAAAGCTGTTTTATATCAAATTCATTCTAAAAATAAATCATGTTTTGTATTATAGGTATACCTACACTACATTGTACATTACTCTGTATTTTACCAAAACGTCTGTAGTGACAAGCTACAGAGTTGGTCAACTCCAATCTTGCATATACCATTGAGTGTATTCAATTTTTCATCCAGTGTTGTTTTGAACAGTTTTATAGTTTTACATACATGTACACAATCTATATAGAGTTCTGAAATGGATAGTGCATGCAAGAGTGTTTTGTTCATATATGAAAATGTGACATATTACAAATTTACCCTTGGTTCAGTTTGTTGTTATGAATTTCTGATGTTTGTGTTTGTTTTTGTTTTTTGTAAAGAGTGAGTTAAATGTCTTGACAAGACATGTTCTCATGCAATGCAATCAATTGTTAATCTTTTCCTGTTATGTGGAAAAAAATGTGTATGCTTTAAGTAATGAATACCCTTTGTTTCATCACAACTTCTGTAGTGACATCACCTGTCAGGTTTATCATTGAAGAAATATTATTTGGGCAAAAGCTGTTTTATATCAAATTCATTCTAAAAATAAATCATGTTTTGTATTATAGGTATACCTACACTACATTGTACATTACTCTGTATTTTACCAAAATGTCTGTAGTGACATCACATGCTTTTCGTGCGTGCTTCATGATCGTTAAGATAAGGTGATTGAATAGGCATGGACAGGTTGATACGCTTGGAACGCAAACTAGTTGACGTCACTACAAATGTTTTGTGAAACAAAGGGTATTGTCGTCGTATTCAAATTTGAATTTAGATTCTCTGTAGGGCCCACCAGTGGGAATAGCCCAGCACCCATAGACAGTCAAAATGAAGAATGATGTGCAAAACTATAATGCTGGTTGAAGAGATGAATGATCACTATGTCTGGTTTGTCGTCTACGTCGGACTATAACCCAACTCCATGGACAATGTGACCTATTATCTGACATGAAAGTGATAATTTAAAATGTCTATATGTAGTCCATTTTCCAACAGTTTTGTTTGACTGTATTTCTTTGCCCAATACTTTTGTACAAAGAAGACAAGATTAGCACAAAAGTGATGTATTGGTCATGTTTTGATGTTACTATCCATCCACTAAAATGTAATGTTTATATGTTCATAACATATCACTTTGTAACCCGAGTTCTATACAAAAATGAAATGGATTATGGAATTCGGAATCCTGGGTTCAGAACACAAATATGCTGATACTTTCCACTTGCTTTTATTAACAAATGTAACTTTCATTCTTTAAATTAAGATCTTGATTAAAGAGACACGGGCATATTTGGAAATATTTGTCCAACTCTGATATTTCTGTTGCGATCTTATTTTGATGTACACATCTTGACTGCCCAGCACGCCATTCCAAAGTGGATATTTTCAAAGCAGATACTAATGCCCTCGCTGGGACTGAAGGTTTTTGTAGGGATTTTAAATAAAATGTTATTATTCAGATCCATATTCATGCCGCCTTTAAAAGCAAAATCACCACTTACGATTTTTTTTTTTTTTAACAGCTTGAAGCGAAATACATTAGTTTTTATCATGTCAGATTTCAATTTTGTAACATCTAAACATGAAAATTAAGGTTTTGCAAAAACGCTATTCAGAAGCTTAGTACTCAAACTCTTTCTTGTGTATACCAAATTATGATAGAGGTAAATATTAATGTTATGTAGTTTGCTACTCCAATTTCAATATTGCAACACCATGATTCACTTTTATATGGGAATTTTTGTTTTTAAAGGTCACTGGGGGCTGATTTCACTGCAAAAGAAGGCATGAATATGGGTCTAAACAATCCCCAAGTTGCGAGTAACTCCTCTCCTACCATACCTGTATAACAGCCCACCTATGTGTTCGTTGTCCTCTGAACTGAGATGTATCATGTTTTGTTGGAACCTTGTTTTATAAGCCTTATTTTTTCAAAGTTGTCTTTAATAATAAAAACAGTTTTGCTGTATTTGAAAGGCATGTCGAAGTATTTTATTTTATATTAAAGGGGCATCTCATGTTTTTATGATTTTATTCCGGCTTATCTTGATACTCCACCATGTGAATGAAACAAGGTCGTAACTGACATTTTGGGCACAAATTAGTTTTCTTTTTATTTTGAAAGAATTAAATATTCATTTTTTAAATTAGACTTCAAGTCTCAAATTTAAACAGTTTTATTTTATAAAAGAAAGAAGATGGTAAGAGACAAAGAAAACAAAGTTGAACACAAAATGGCTTCTCCCGCAAAATGAAGAAAATGTAGATACGACCTTTGTTGCATGCACATGATGACTTATAAGTTTGCAAATGGTTGGTTTTTGACATATTCACCTGAAAAACAACAATATGGTAATAAGACTATCTTGGAAACACTTAGGAGGCATTAGATAGGATTTTTAGATAGGGTTTTTGCAAGTTTGTTCGTCAATCTGATAAATCTTCAGAAAACCTGTTACACTATGTTTAAGCATGATACACTCGCCAATTATACGATTTACTGGATTGATACAGCTATATTCACTATTAGTTATTTGATTTGAGAAATTTATTATGAAATGATTTCGTTCTGTGAACGGAAAGAAATTAAAATGTTCATACATTTTAGGATTTCTATCGTGAACATGTAGATCTGCAGAACAGGTGGCGAAGGTTTCAGATGGCATCAAAATCTGGGGTGGTTTTGTATAAATCCGGGGGGGGGGGAATGTTGTGGATCACGAAATGCCCCTTTAAATGTCTTTGAGTTGAAACATTTGAACTTGTCAATGAAGCAGCTGTGCTGTGCTATGTCCCGACCCTTTGAACCATAATGTAGGCACCCTTTTTCACCTGACAGTTATTATATTTAAAATGAAGACTTATAAGGAGAAGAAGTACCCGATTCACAAAATACTAGTTCATTTTGGAAAATGGCGTCGTAAACAAATTACCACCACGTTTAAATTTGTCATGACCTGTTTTCATGCACTCCACATACCTACTGTAAATTTCAGCTCTGATGACAAAATGAATGTGGTGTTTTGTTTTGTTTTCGGCCCCGGCTGGTTGGTGATGTAGCACTAGACGCATGAAAAGTGGGTTAAATACACCCTGAAATAAAGAAGTCCACGTTTTGACAGGAAGAAAAGCAGGTCCACGTTTTCATGTAGGGGTCAAGCGTTACCCAAGGTCCACAGTTCACAACATCGAGCCCTCGGTTACATTAAAGTCCACAGTAATTTTGTACTATTGAATCAGAAAGAGATTTAAACATGTTACTAAAAGGAATTCCTTTTTTTTCCAAACGAAGTTTTTAAATGAGAAATTTTGTACTAGTCATTTCCAAGTCAACATTATCAAAATACACCCTGAAATAAAGAAGTCCACGTTTTGACAGGAAGAAAAGCAGGTCCACGTTTTCATGTAGGGGACAAGCGTTCCCCAAAGCCCACAGTTCACCACATCGAGCCCTCGGTTACATTAAAGTCCACATTAATTTTGTAATATTGAAATCGGGAAGAGATTTAAACATGTTACTAAAGGGAATTCCTTTTTTTTTCAAATGAAGTTTTTAAATGAGAAATTTTGTACTAGTCATTTCCAAGTCAACATAAAAAAACACCCTAAAATAAAGAAGTCCACGTTTTGACAGGAAGAAAAGCAGGTCCACGTTTTCATGTAGGGGACAAGCGTTCCCCAAAGTCCACAGTTCACCACATCGAGCCCTCGGTTACATTAAAGTCCACATTAATTTTGTAATATTGAAATCGGGAAGAGATTTAAACATGTTACTAAAAGGAATTCCTTTTTTTTTCAAAATGAAGTTTTTAAACGAGAAATTTGTACTAGTCATTTCCAAGTCAACATTATCAAAATACACCCTGAAATAAAGAAGTCCACGTTTTGACAGGAAGAAAAGCAGGTCACGTTTTCATGTAGGGGTCAAGCGTTACCCAAAGTCCACAGTTCACAACATCGAGCCCTCGGTTACATTGAAGTCCACAGTAATTTTGTACTATTGAAATCGGGAAGAGATTTAAACATGTTACTAAAAGGAATTCCTTTTTTTTCTCCAAATGAAGCTTTTAAATGAGAAATTTAGTACTAGTCATTTCCAAGTCAACTCCAAAATACACCCTGAAATAAAGAAGTCCACGTTTTGACAGGAAGAAAAGCAGGTCCACGTTTTCATGTAGGGGTCAAGCGTTACCCAAAGTCCACAGTTCACCACATCGAGCCCTCGGTTACATTAAAGTCCACAGTAATTTTGTAATATTGAAATCGGGAAGAGATTTAAACATGTTACTAAAAGGAATTCCTTTTTTTTTCCAAATGAAGCTTTTAAATGAGAAATTTAGTACTAGTCATTTCCAAGTCAACATTATCAAAATACACCCTGAAATAAAGAAGTCCACGTTTTGACAGGAAGAAAAGCAGGTCCACGTTTTCATGTAGGGGACAAGCGTTACCCAAAGTCCACAGTTCACATCATTGAGCTCTCGGTTACATTGAAGTCCACATTAATTTTGTACTATTGAATCGGAAAGAGATTTAAACATGTTACTAAAGGAATTCCTTTTTTCCAAATAAATTTTTAAACGAGAAATTTGTACTAGTCTTTCCAAGTCCACATCAAAATACACCCTGAAATAATGAAGTCCACGTTTTGACAGGAAGAAAAGCAGGTCCACGTTTTCATGTAGGGGACAAGCGTTACCCAAAGTCCACAGTTCACAACATCGAGCCCTCGGTTACATTGAAGTCCACAGTAATTTTGTACTATTGAAATCGGGAAGAGATTTAAACATGTTACTAAAAGGAATTCCTTTTTTTTTCTCCAAATGAAGCTTTTAAATGAGAAATTTAGTACTAGTCATTTCCAAGTCAACTCCAAAATACACCCTGAAATAAAGAAGTCCACGTTTTGACAGGAAGAAAAGCAGGTCCACGTTTTCATGTAGGGGTCAAGCGTTACCCAAAGTCCACAGTTCACACATCGAGCCCTCGGTTACATTAAAGTCCACAGTAATTTGTAATATTGAAATCGGGAAGAGATTTAAACATGTTACTAAAAGGAATTCCTTTTTTTTTTCCAAATGAAGCTTTAAATGAGAATTTAGTACTAGTCATTTCCAAGTCAACATCAAAATACACCCTAAAATAAAGAAGTCCACGTTTTGACAGGAAGAAAAGCAGGTCCACGTTTCATGTAGGGGACAAGCGTTACCCAAAGTCCACAGTTCACCACATCGAGCCCTCGGTTACATTAAAGTCCACAGTAATTGTAATATTGAAATCGGGAAGAGATTTAAACATGTTACTAAAAGGAATTCCTTTTTTTTTTTCCAAATGAAGCTTTTAAATGAGAAATTTAGTACTAGTCATTTCCAAGTCAACATTATCAAAATACACCCTGAAATAAAGAAGTCCACGTTTTGACAGGAAGAAAAGCAGGTCCACGTTTTCATGTAGGGGACAAGCGTTACCCAAAGTCCACAGTTCACATCATTGAGCTCTCGGTTACATTGAAGTCCACATTAATTTTGTACTATGAATCGGAAAGAGATTTAAACATGTTACTAAAAGGAATTCCTTTTTTTCCAATAAATTTTAAACGAGAAATTTGTACTAGTCTTTTCAAGTCCACATCAAAATACACCCTGAAATAATGAAGTCCACGTTTTGACAGGAAGAAAAGCAGGTCCACGTTTTCATGTAGGGGACAAGCGTTACCCAAAGTCCACAGTTCACAACATCGAGCCCTCGGTTACATTGAAGTCCACAGTAATTTTGTACTATTGAAATCGGGAAGAGATTTAAACATGTTACTAAAAGGAATTCCTTTTTTTTTCTCCAAATGAAGCTTTTAAATGAGAAATTTAGTACTAGTCATTTCCAAGTCAACTCCAAAATACACCCTGAAATAAAGAAGTCCACGTTTTGACAGGAAGAAAAGCAGGTCCACGTTTTCATGTAGGGGTCAAGCGTTACCCAAAGTCCACAGTTCACCACATCGAGCCCTCGGTTACATTAAAGTCCACAGTAATTTTGTAATATTGAAATCGGAAGAGATTTAAACATGTTACTAAAAGGAATTCCTTTTTTTTTCCAAATGAAGCTTTTAAATGAGAAATTTAGTACTAGTCATTTCCAAGTCAACATCAAAATACACCCTAAAATAAAGAAGTCCACGTTTTGACAGGAAGAAAAGCAGGTCCACGTTTTCATGTAGGGGACAAGCGTTACCCAAAGTCCACAGTTCACCACATCGAGCCCTCGGTTACATTAAAGTCCACAGTAATTTGTAATATTGAAATCGGGAAGAGATTTAAACATGTTACTAAAAGGAATTCCTTTTTTTTCTTCCAAATGAAGCTTTTAAATGAGAAATTTAGTACTAGTCATTTCCAAGTCAACATCAAATACACCCTAAAATAAAGAAGTCCACGTTTTGACAGGAAGAAAAGCAGGTCCACGTTTTCATGTAGGGGACAAGCGTTCCCCAAAGTCCACAGTTCACCACATCGAGCCCTCGGTGAAGCTTTTAAATGAGAAATTTAGTACTAGTCATTTCCAAGTCAACTCCAAAATACACCCTGAAATAAAGAAGTCCACGTTTTGACAGGAAGAAAAGCAGGTCCACGTTTTCATGTAGGGGTCAAGCGTTACCCAAAGTCCACAGTTCACCACATCGAGCCCTCGGTTACATTAAAGTCCACAGTAATTTTGTAATATTGAAATCGGGAAGAGATTTAAACATGTTACTAAAAGGAATTCCTTTTTTTTTTTCCAAATGAAGCTTTTAAATGAGAAATTTAGTACTAGTCATTTCCAAGTCAACATCAAAATACACCCTAAAATAAAGAAGTCCACGTTTTGACAGGAAGAAAAGCAGGTCCACGTTTTCATGTAGGGGTCAAGCGTTACCCAAAGTCCACAGTTCACCACAGTGGCGGATCCAGGGGGGCGCCCCCCCCCCCCCCTGGGCACAAAAAAGA